CAAGACAACAGGGTTGATCTAGGGGTAGATCAGGTTGATGAACACATTTTTCAGTCATAAACCCTTTTTGAGGGTTGATTAAGCGCCGGATTTCTTTTGAGTGTATTTTGATGCCAAAATGATCAGCTCGTCGAGCTCTACAAAACCATGCACTTCTGAACAGACTCGGATAGAGTCATGCACAAGGTAGTGCGCTTCTCATGAATTCAACCCTTACAATATATACATATATGTGTATTGCAGGGAACAACCTTCCTTTTAAATTTGTTACAGTAGTTTCACTGATTAGAGTCTTGCGTGACATATTTCGGATGTTTCTCCTTTTTTGAACGTTGAAGAAATTATCTAACTTTGACGTTTTAGAAAGTGGGAACCACAGTAGGTAGCTAAACGATCAGAATTGGTCTGTGTTCTGTTGTAGTAAAAAATAACTATGCGCCGCAAAAGCTGAAAGATTTCATGTGATGTTCTATATACTCTTCAATTATTGAAGTTAACTTTTATTTCGGCTTGAAGCTAGTACGAGGAAATAGTGTGTTACGAGAAAACCTTTTTTTTGCTAAATATGTTCCGTCCATGAAAACTTGTCGACCCGATTCAGAATTAAAAAGGTTTTCAGGTGGCACACTGTTTCGTCGTGCTAGCTCCGTAGTGCTAGCTCCACACCAATTCTTTATATCTTTTTAATAACAGGAAATAGGATGTTTCTCGATTATTCTCTAGTGATTTTATATATTATCAGTTAGCTCTCATGTGATACCAGCCTAATTAGTCCTAAAAGAAACTTTGGACAGAAAAATAGGTTGTAATCTTATGCAATTCAAAATAGGGAGTTGTATGTATACATGATGCTTACATAAAGTAATAAGAGAAAGTGTACGAAATTGACTAATAGGTTTCGTATTCAAGGAACGTATATGTATATTATACATTATAAAATGTCATCATGAACGGTCAAAATTCGGATGATCCATAGCCGATTGATCGTAGAGGTTTTCTCCGAGAATAGTAGCAAAAGTCAGGGTTTCGAACTTTGAGAATTCAGTAGTTCAAAACTTAACCATGATAATCCAATGATTTTTAAAAATAGTGGGATTTGCTTAATAAAACATGTCGTATAGAAGCACAACGATTAGTAAAGTGTAGCTCGAAATGATACAGTTTTCATTAAGAAAAGCAACTGTACAAGAAACTTGTGACTCGCATTCATATAGAGTGGGAAACTATTTTTGAACGCGATGCGGAGCCTATAAAAGTCATATTTTTAACGAAAGATATTCTATTATTTCTAGATTACAATCAGTTTGTTCGCGAAGGCGTATCACAATCGAAACAGTTCAACACAAGACAAGTCGCATGGGTCATATTATTTCCCTTTTCATTACAATTAACTGTCGTTGGGAGTCTACTATGGCGGCCGTTCTGATGACGACTTCTCTTTTTATATTTGGAGAAGTGTCAGTTGGTTATGAACATCTTCCTATATTCCGAATAATTCTTGCAATATTATTTGGTTTTTTTACGCAGGTACTTGCTTGTGTCTTAAATGATATCACTGATATAAAAATAGATAAGATCAATCATCCTCAAAGGCCCTTAGCTTCCGGGAAAATCGACATTCGGGAAGCTTGGCTGGTGGTGGTAATATGCCTTATTTTCGCCTTAGCCTGTGGACTTACGCTAGCATCCTCTAATCTTAGCTATGTTAGCTTGATTACCCACCTATGTTGCTCGATTTTGTACTCATTTCCTGGCATTCGTTTAAGTCGCAATTGGATAACGGGACCTTTAACTCTTATCACTGCATTTTCATCACATGTTTTATTCACTCTCAGCTGCACATCACTCTATCATTCTGTACTCTATGGACAACAACTGGTTTTTTTGATTGTTAGCACGACTGCCATGCATCACATACTTATCAATCCTATGAAAGATGTTGGTGATTTGAAAGGTGATGCAATAGGAGGCGCTACGTCCCTTGCGATGTGGATACCGTTGTGGGCAACTAATTGCATAGTAGTTACGGGATACATCTTACCTTGGATTCTTCTCTACATCAGAGCGGATTCATTTGCACCATCAATTGACCAAGTTATCGGTATCGTGGCATCATTAAAAGTTCTGGCTATCACTTTCTGTGTGGCAGGATTAGTTATGTCCTATTATCTGCTGTTTGATCCTGTGCCTTTAATTTACTATCGATATTCAACAATAACTAGACTACTACCATTATATTTATTTCATGTTGGACAACCGATAGCACTATCTTTGGTGCGCTTATACAACTCACATACAGGAGCAACATTTTTAAAATGACTACAAACAGTTAATATTTCACAACGTTTATAATTTTTGTTTGCCCTCACCTCAACACAATGAATTAACAAAAACTTCAATTGTTTTTAAAATGATGAGACATCAAAAGATCTACAAAATCTATCATTTTAAGAGCATTTGTGTGTTCTATTTTTTCCATAATATTTTCTTCAATTTTTTTGGCCAAAATCGTATTATCTCGTATGATACTATCTAGTTTCGTTCACAACTTATCGTATGTCTCTCTTCATATACTAATATTCACTTCAAAATACTACTGGCATCCTCTCTGCTCTTTCTTCTTGTAGCTAGCTTAGTTTAGTTTACATGTTGCCTAAATATAGTTTGCTTCGATTTCGGGATGGGTTATTTAGCTTATTTTCAAATTCGCTAAACAAGTTTAAATATATCTAACGCAGATTGTCGACAGAAAATGATTGATCAATGTATATCAACACCGATAAAAAAAGCGTAGAATGGTAAACTTTTTTACCATTTATCAAAATGCAACGATAGAAATAGCTTTCGGCACCGTTTATCACATTATGCTAAATCCTTTGATCTACTCATTAAAACCGTGAATAAAATGGCTTATCAAAACAAAATACCTGCTATAAAAAGTTTATGAAGCCGTTTATACGGCCGAGAAACTTGAAAAGGCTATCTCTGTTGTTGTATTTTCCTAAACCCTTTCTAAGGGCTGTTCGTATTCTAAAACAATTTTATTATAGAACACATATTCATTTATCAAAGAGTATATGAAAACCAAATACTGGTATTCTATCATCGGTAAAACGCATAAAACAGTTCAATACTCTGATTAACTCCAGAAAGGTTTAGTCACAGCGTATATCACATGGTTGATCACTTCCATCTACTGCGTAAAGGTAGATCGAAGGGTATGTCAGATATTTGATCAATTGCATCTACTACGGAAACAGTAGATCAAATGGCTGTTTATAGCATTCAGTACGATGAATGCAGTACATCAGGATTGTACTGACGCATCAGATCCTCTATCAACAAGTGAGACAAAAAGGTAGAACAAAGAGAACGGAAAAGCCGAACCTAAGAGCTATAATCAACAGAAAGTGCGAGCCATCACTGACTGACGCGTGATAGCTCGAAATATTTAGTCATACACCTAAGGAAAACTCTCACATAAAACTCAAAGGATAGCGAGGATGAATTACAGCGATCTATTAGGAAAAACAGAGCGGAAAGGAGTGTATTGTGCACCCTAAAGACCAAAAGACAACATTAATGAAACCGGACAGCTAACAGAAGAATGAAAAACTCGAAAAGAAATTTTACTCTCAATACTATGCAGTGTATGATGCTGGCAACTGCATGATCGATGCAAGACAGTAAAGAGGAAAAGAAACATATCGTTCACCATGTCCTCGAATGTTTGCTGACACTAGAATTGGATAACTAAAAACATAATGAAATTAAAAAAAACATGAAATAAACTGCGCATGAAATAATTTGGTCACTACTATCAAAATTTTTATAAAAGGCAGATGGAAGAAAGTTGTATAACTTTTGATTGAAAAGTTATTTCGAACTGCGGTTTTCACCATTCAGTAGAGGAGGGTCGGGGGCAGATACCTATGTGGGAGAGTC